CTCTCTCACACTGAGGCAAACGAACACTGTAGGCTGCTACTTCCCTGTGGATATCAGACGGTGTAATACCGGCTAAACAGTATAATTGCTCCAGTGGTGTAGGGTGTAGACATCCTGTAATATTGTGACTTTCTCTCAGACTGATACCTCTCTCACACTGAGGCAAACGAACACTGTAGGCTGCTACTTCCCTGTGGATATCCAATGGTGTAATACCGGCTAAATAGTATAATTGCTCCAGTGGTGTAGGGTGTAGACATCCTGTAATAATGTGACTTTCTCTCAGACTGATATCTCTCTTACACTGAGGCAAACAAACACTGAAATCTAGAAATCCTGTGATAATGTGATTGAGGGTTCTCTCAGACTGATACCTCGCCCACACTGAGGCAAATGAACACTATAGGCTGCTACTTCCCTGCAGATACCCAATGGTGTAATACCGGCTAAACAGTATAATTGCTCCAGTGGTGTAAGGTGTAGACATCCTGTGATAATGTGACTGAGGGTTCTCTCAGACTGATACCTCTCTCACACTAAGGCAAACAAACACTGTAGGCTGCTACTTCCCTGCGGATATCAGATGGTGCAATACCGGCTAAACAGTATAATTTCTCTAGCAGTGTAGGGTCTAGAAATCCTGTGATAATGTGATTGAGGGTTCTCTCTGACTGATACCTCGCTCACACTGAGGCAAATGAACACTGTAGGCTGCTACTTCCCTGTGGATATCCAATGGTGTAATTCTGGCTAAACAGTATAATTGCTCCAGTGGTGTAGGGTGTAGACATCCTGTAATAATGTGACTTTCTCTCAGACTGATACCTCTCTCACACTGAGAGAGTCTGAGGGCTCTCTCAGACTGATACCTCTCTCACACTGAGGCAAACAAACACTGTAGGCTGCTACTTCCCTGTGGATATCCGATGGTGTATTACCAGCTAAATGGTATAATTTCTCCAGTGGTGTAGTGTGTAGACATCTTGTGATAATGTGACCGAAGGCTCTCTCAGACTGATACCTCTCTCACACTGAGGCATCCAGTGATAATGTGGCATGTCTCATTAAGAGCCACATCTGCTGTTTTAACGTAGTGAGATGTTTCCCACAGTAGACATGCATATTCAATAGCAAAGTAGCAAAGTGCAAGGGCAGGTGTCTTCACTGTGTCTGGTTGTGACCCCAGGCTGTGATCCCCAGAACTGATACTGGGTTTCATCTTTGCCATTATGTGGATCCATATCTAACTAATAAGCTGCCATAGGCTGCAATTGCTTGGAAAGAGGATTGGAGAAATCCATAGCTCAATAGAGTTCCCATGTCCAGTAACACTATATTTTTGGCTATTTGGAAAGTAGTTTTGGTTGGAAGATGTGCTGATAGTTGTCGATACCCTTCTTAAAATGGCCACAAATCCAACAACCAAGCTCCTGTTTACATGCTCTTGAGCACATTGAAGGAACATTTTTGTTTTGTGTCTGGAGCGACTTGAGAAACTGCCAGTCACTTCTGAAGTGAGAGAATTGGCTGTCTGCAAGGACGTTGCCCAGGCGTTGGCCGGATATTTTACCATCCTGTGGGAGGCTTCTCTCATGTCCCTGCATGGGAACCTGGAGCTGATAGACGGGAGCTCAACCCACTCCTCAGATTAGAACTGTCGACTTTTTGGTCGGCAGTCCTTCTGGTGTGGAAAATTGGCTGTCTTCAAGGACGTTACCCAGGGGACGCCTGAAAATTTTACCATCCCGTCGGAGGCTTCCCTCATGTCCCCACATGGGAAGCTGGAGCGGACAGAAAAGAGCTCACCCCACTCCCCAGATTCTAATTGCTGACCTTTCGATCAGCAGTCCTTCTGATATGAGATAATTGGCTGTCTTCAAGGATGTTGCCCAGTGTACGCCCGGATATTTTACCATCCTGTGGGAGCCTTCCCTCATGTCCCCACATGGGAAGCTGGAGCTGACAGAAAAGAGCTTACCCCACTCCCCAGATTCTAATTGCTGACCTTTCGGTCAGCAGTCCTTCTGATATGAGATAACTGGCTGTCTTCCAGGATGTTGCCCAGTGGACGCCCAGATATTTTATCATCCTGTGGGAGGCTTCCCTCATGTCCTCGCATGGGAAGCTGGAGCTGACAGACGAGAGCTCACCCCACTCCCCAGATTCGAATTGCTGACCTTTTGATCAGCAGTCCTTTTGGTATAAGATAATTGGCTGTCTTCAAGGATGTTGCCCAGTGGATGCCCGGATATTTTACCATCCTGTGGGAGGCTTCCCTCATGTCCTCGCATGGGAAGCTGGAGCTGACAGATGAGAGCTCACCCCAATCCCCAGATTCGAATTGCTGACCTTTCGATCAGCAGTCCTTCTGGTATAAGATAATTGGCTGTCTTCAAGGATGTTGCCCAGTGGACGCCCGGATATTTTACCATCCTGTGGGAGGCTTCTCTCATGTCCCCGCATGGGAAGCTGGAGCTGACAGACAGGAGCTCACTCTGCTCCTCAGATCTGAACTGCTGACCTTTTGGTCAGTCCTTTTGGTGTGGAGAATTGGCTGTCTGCAAGGACGTTGCCCAGGGGACATTGATGCAGCCTAGAATTTCGCAGGTATCCTCAACTGAAACAGAGCAGGTATAGTTGGAACTGGATCACTTTGCCCACTGATCCAAAAGTCGTGAGACAGAGGCAGTGGTCTACTGGGAATATGGAGATGCTTCCTTGGCCATGCCCCAGGCTGGTGAGCAGCGTCTTGCTTCCCTTTGCTGTTTTCAGACGGTCGGTAAGGTCGGCAATCACTTTGCCGCAGCAGCAGCAGCTGTGGGGAGAGATGGAGAGAGATAGAAACTAGGTCATTTCCCCCTTCCCCTCCCAGCCAGTCGTCTTTATAGCGGTCGTGTTGGCGTGTACACCGCTTGCGAGGCAGGCTCCGTCTGGGGCCAGACAAGGAAGGGCGACTTCTTTCTGGCGCTGCGAGGGACCCACAGGTGTAATGCTCGGTGAAGCTGTCAACCTGGATCTGGCTCACGCCGTCTCCAACTTGCCTGCCTTTGGAGTTTCCTTCAGATTAGGATTGCCAATCTGAATGCTAGAAGCGGGCAACGGTTTTCATCTCAGTTTGGAAGCTAAGCAGGGTCAGTCCTGGTTAGTAGTTGGGAAAGAAACTCCAACAAACACAAGGTCCTTTCGGCTGAAATTCAGAAGGAATGGTCAAAACCACCTTGCCAAGGAGTTGCCATAAGTAGGCAGGCGACTATCTCTTCTATAGGAGCCTTGTCTTTGTAGTAAAATAATATGGTTGCACTATTTACAAGAACAAGGTTTCCATAACACAAAGTTCTTTATACTTCCTTCTTTGCTTCCACAATGGGCTTCTTTCTCATGCAGATAAGTAGCTTCGCTCTCACAGAGCGCCTTCTCACACCAAAGTTACGAAGGAGCTTCACACACAATGGACTTCAACTTGGGGCTTCTTCTCACCGAAGCTTCTCACACCAGGCCTACCTCACACTGAGGCTTTTCTCCCACTGAGGCCTTCTCACACTGAGGGTTCTCTCAGACTGACGCCTCTCTCATGCTGAGGCGAACTAACACTGAAGCCTTTCTCCCACTGAGACCTACTAATACTGAGGCCTACTTCACACTGTAAAGTAATATGGTTGCACTATTTACATGAACAAGGTTTCCATAACACATAGTTCTTTATACTTCCTTCTTTGCTTCCACACTGGGCTTCTTTCTTATGCAGATAAACAGCTTTGCTCTCACAGAGCGCCTTCTCACACCGAAGTTACACAGCAGCTACACACAGTAGCTTTTTACACAAAGGAGCCTTCTCACACGATGGCCTTCAACCTGGGGCTTCTTCTCACCGAAGCTTCTCACATCAGGCCTACTCATACTGAGGCCTACCTCACACTGAGGCCTACCTCATACTGAGGCCTACCTCACACTAAGGCCTACCTCACATTGAGGCCTACCTCACACTGAGGCCTACCAGACACTGAGGCCTAAGAGCTTGAAGACCTTGTGGCTTCAACAAGCCTTTGAGAATGACCAGTTCTAGTCCAACCCAAACATTGTTGAATATGGCCTTGCACTCTTACCTTTTACCCCGGTCATCCCTCGAATAGACCCTGGAAATGAGCAGCCACAGACCCATACCTGCTATTGCCGTTAGCCTGTTATAGCACTGTACATAATTCCCGTCCCCCTCATATTTTGAGTTTGCACTAGCCTTGGCCCGGCTTTTTAATTGCTCTGAGTAGGCAGGAATATTTTTAATATATATGTGTTATTGTGATAATTTTATGCTTATGTTGTTTTGTGATTTTTATGTTATGCCATTTACTTTGTATGTTTCGGTGATGTTACTTGGAAACCGCCCTGATTCCGCCTCGGGGAGATAGAGCGGTATATAAAGGAAGTTTTATTATTATTATTATTTCTCCCACGGAGGCCATCTCACACTGAGGGCTCTCTCAGACTGACACCTCTCTCACATTGAGGCAAACTAACACTGAAACCTTTCTCCCACTGAGGCCTACTAATACTGAGGCCTAGTTCACACTGTAAAATTGTATGGTTGCACTGTTTACAAGAACTAGGTTTCCATAACACAAATAAACAAATACATAGTAGCTTTACACGCAGTAGCCTTCACACTGGAGATTTCTCACACTAGGCTTCTCTCACACTGAGGTTTGCCTCACATTCCTCAAGATGGCACTAACTCTAACAGGCTTCGGTCTACTCACTCTCCTCAGGATGACAATAGTTTTGTCCCACTGACCCTAACAGGTTTTGGCCTACTCACACTTTCAATGCTTGACTCACACGATTGTGAGTTAATTTTTAATATTTCTGACAGAGCCGAGGTACATGAAACCTTTATTGTATGATCTCTGTTTTGCTGTCTGTGCCAATACAACCCAAACAGCAAACGTTGCCCAGCATCTATGTGTCTCCGCAACTCATCCTTCGCCTTTTTCTATCTCTTTCAGCGTCCTTGGTGCTCGTCGCGTCTCGGACACTTTCCACGCACGTTTCTCAGCCTTATCGAGGACTTACGTCTACCGAGTCGTAACCGGTTGCACTTGCCTTTCTGAGCTGCTGCCGGTCTTTGAGCAGAATCTCTGCTGGGTGACACGGAGAGGGTGAGTTTGCAAAGCCCGGCATTTGCCTTCCACAATCCACCATTCATATTGAGAAAATGAACCTGACAGGGGATTGGTGTCTGCATCAAGGACATTGCATCCTAATTGTAATAGAGGCTCGACAGTAGGACATTAAGCTGTAATATAGCTGCGATCCTACATGGGATATTGAGCTCCCAAGCAAGTCTTCTTCCAATTTCTCCCTTTTGGTTAATGGTTGAGCCTGTTGGGCGAGTGGGCTTATTAACAAAAGACCCTCCTCATAAACATGTAGCTGAGTAACTTGTTAGCAGCAGTGTGACCCCGCACCAGTAGCCCAAAGTGATAAAAAAACCAAAAACACACAGACCAATGTTACTTCTTCTATAGGATGCTTTTCTTTATCGTAAAACAATATGGTTGCTCTATTTACAAGAACAAGGTTTCCATAACACAAATAAAGTCCTTTATACTTCCTTCTTTGCTTCCACGCTGGGCTTCTTTTTCATGCCAATAAACAGCTTTTCTCTCACTGAGCTTCCTCTCACACCGAACTTACACAGGAGCTTCACACAGTAGCCTTTTACACACAGTAGCCTTTTACACACAGCAGCCTTTACACTGGGGCTTTACACATGATGACCAACCTGGGGCTTTTCTCTGCTTTGCTTCACACACCAGGCCTACTCATACTGAGGCCTTTTCACATTGAGGGTTCTCTCAGACTGATCCCCTCTCACACTGAGGCAAACTAACACTGAAGCCTTTCTTCCACTGAGGCCTTCTCACACTGAGGGCTCTCTCAGACTGGGGCCTTTCTCCCACTGAGGCGAAGAAACAGATTACTAACACATTGAGGCCCTTCTTCCACAGAGACCTCTCAGACTAAGGCCTTTCTCCCACTGAGGCAAAGAAACACCGACTACTAACACATTGAGGCCCTTCATCCACAGAGACCTCTCAGACTGGGGCCTTTCTCCCACTGAGGCGAACAAACATTGAAGCCTTTCTCCCACTGAGGCCTTCTCACACTGAGGGCTCTCTCAGACTGGGGCCTTTCTCCCACTGAGGCGAAGAAACACTGACTACTAACACATTGAGGCCCTTCTTCCACAGAGACGTCTGAGACTGGGGCCTTTCTCCAACTGAGGCCTTCTCACACTGAGGGCTCTCTCAGACTGGGGCTTTTCTCCCACTGAGGCAAAGAAACACTGACTACTAACACATTGAGGCCCTTCTTCCACAGAGACCTCTCACAGACTGAGTCATGCACACCTACTTATATAGAACTGCAGCATTTACCAAGTCATTGCATCCATTTAACCCTTTCAGTAATTAAAAATACCTAATTAATTTTTAATATTTCTGACAAGGGTGCTAGTTAGTCATTTAGTTGATGACCTATGATCCTTCCCTCGGCTCACGGACTCCCTCGGACTCTTTTTCCCAGCCATTTGGACTTGGCCGCCATGCAGGAAGCAGCAGGGTTCCTGGTGGGCACCCATGACTTCAGCACCTTCCGCTCCGCTTCCTCCGAATTACCTGCGAAGAACCCGGTCAAGACGATTGACCAGCTGGAAATCAGACCTTCTTCGGGCTTCTTGATGCACCACGTCAAAAATAGGTGAGAAGAGATAGGCACCATTCGTTGCTCATGCTGCCCCATTTGGGGGGTTTTCTCATAGTTTCTTCCTCTGTGTGTAACTTGGACAAAGCAGGTAATGCTTCGCACGCAACCAAATAATAAGGAACACCTCTTAAAATGCATTCTTCTACACAGCGCAGTGGGTTAAACTGCTGAGCTGCTGAATCTGCTGACCGGAAGTGCAGGGGATTGGACTAGATGACCTTTGTGGTCCTTCCCAACTCAAAGATTGAATGATTCTGCATACAGAGTGTCTTCTTTCATACACAATGCCTCCACCTTCGTAACTCCTCAACAGATGGGAGAACTGGTATGCGGCAGGTACTGGCTTGTTCAGTAGACTCTCCTCTACAGTTCTATTTTGGCGGGAAACCTTAGCATTGAACGGTTGTGTTGTTAAAGTGAAAAGTAATGCCTCCACCTTTGTAACTCCTCAACAGATGGCAGTACTGGTTTACGACAGGTACTGGCTTGTTCAGTAGACTTTCCTCTACAGTTCTCGTTTAGTAGACTCTCCTCTACAGTTCCATTTTGGCGGGAAGCCTTAGCATTGAACGGTTGTGTTGTTAAAGTGAAAAGTAATGCCTCCACCTTTGTAACTCCTCAACAGAAGGCAGTACTGGTATATGGCAGGTACTGGCTTGTTCAGTAGACTTTCCTCTACAGTTCTTGTTCAGTAGACTCTCCCCTACAGTTCCATTTTGGCGGGAAGCCTTAGCATTGAACGGTTGTGTTGTTAAAGTGAAAAGTAATGCCTCCACCTTTGTAACTCCTCAACAGAAGGCAGTACTGGTATACGGCAAGTACTGGCTTGTTCAATAGACTTTCCTCTACAGTTCTTGTTCAGTAGACTCTCCTCTACAGTTCTATTTTGGTGGGAAGCCTTAGCATTGAACGGTTGTGTTGTTAAAGTGAAAAATAATGCCTCCACCTTCGTAACTCCTCAACAGAAGGCTTACTGGTGTGTGGCAGGTACTGGCTTGTTCAGTAGGCTTTCCTCTACACTTCCATTTTGGTGGGAAGCCTTAGTATTGAACGGTTGTGTTGTGAAAGTGAAAAGTAATGCCTCCACCTTCGTAACTCCTCAACAGAAGGCAGTACTGGTGTGTGGCAGGGAATGGCTTGTTCAGTAGACTCTCCTCTACAGTTCCATTTTGGCAGGAAACCTTAGCATTGAATAGTTTGTTGTTAAAGTGCAAAGTATGGAACCCTGTGCAGACGGTCGGTCAGTGCGACTTAAGCGACGTGCAGTCATTGAATTCTTGACAGCAGAAGGTGTCACCCCAAAGGAGATTCATCAGAGAATGCAAGCTGTTTATGGGGATTGTGTTGATGTGAGAATTGTGCGTTGTTGGCGAGTAAGTTTAAAGATGTTGAGGTGGGAACATCTGACTTGCGTGACAAACAAAGAGTTGGATGTCCTGTGACAGCAACCACCGAGTTTCACAAGCAAAAGGTTGACAGATTGATTCAGGACAATCGTCATATCACTCAGAGAGAAATTTCAAGCATAATCGGCATTTCACAAGAACGTGTGGGTCACATTATTGCTTTGCTTGGCTATCGGAAGATCTGTGCACAATGGGTACCCAGGATGCTGACGCCTGAAATGAAAGCGCACAGACTTGAAATTTGCCTGTTCATTGTTGGCAGAAATGTATCGAATTGTCTGGTGATTATGTGGAAAGTGAATACTGGTAGTTAAAGATGATGTGAGGTTGTGTACCAACTCACCAAAGGCGCAGTGGAAGAACCAGGTTTTAAGGTCCTTTTTGAATGTTTCTAGTGAAGGGGCTTTCCTGATCTCTCCAGGTAATGAGTTCCAAAGTCGGGGAGCCACAGCTCTCTCTCTTGTGCCCACAAGACGAGCTTGTGAGATTGGTAGGGGTGAAAGGAGGGCCTCCCCTGAAGATCTAAGGGCCCGGGTTGATACGTGGAGAGAGATACTAACACACTGAGGTCCGGTTTTCTTTCTGTGATTGATTTCTTATTGCATTATTTTGTTTCATTGTGTTTTATTCCTATGCTTTGTTTATTTTATTGTGATATTAGTTTTGTTGTTTGATTTTTATGTTGTTGTATTTGTTGTAATTGTATTCCTGGGTTCGGCCTCATGTAAGCCGCCCCCAAGTCCCCTTTGGGGAGATGGTGGTGGGGTATAAATAAAGATTATTATTATTATTATTATTATTATTAGATCAATAGGTACCTTTTTACACAACCATCCTACAATAAACTGTCATTATAAACAAATCCTTTCGTAAGAACGATTCTTCCGAGCGTGTTTTTTCCTCCCCGTCGGAACTGCTGACGTTGACTGCTGAGTGGCCAAATGCCTTCAGCAAAGGCCTTCCTCCGTGAAATCGCATGAGAGGTATTAGCAGCCTATTATTGCACTTTGTTTATGGTCAGCAGGGTTTATTTCCAGCCGGGTTGTTTGGAGGTGGGAGTAGCAACGGAGGGGATGCAATGGAGAGGCAGGCCCAAAGGTTAGAGACAATGGATGACAATGGGAAGCAAAAGGCCTCATTGCTCCCAAAGTGCAGTGGGTTAAAGTGCTGAGCTTCTGAACTTGCTGACCGAAAGATCACAGGTTCGAATCCGGGGAAATTCATGAGCTCCCACTGTTAGCCCCATCTTCTGCCAACCTAGCAGTTTGAAAACATGCAAATGTGAGTAGATCAATAGGTACCGCTCTGACAAGAAGGTAAAAGCGCTCCATGCAGTCATGCTGGCCACATGACCTTGGAGGTGTCTATGGACAACGCTGGCTCTTCGGCTTAGGAATGGAGATGTGCACCAACCCCCAGAGTTGGACACGACTGGACTTAATGCCAGTGGAAAACCTATTGCTCTCAGACTGAGGCCATTCTCCCACTGAGGCGAACTAACACTGAAGCCTATTAACACACTAGCAGTCTTGTCAGAAATATTAAAAATTAACTAGGTATTTTTAATTACTGAAAGAGTTAAATGGATGCAATGACTTGGGAAATGCTGCAGTTCTATATAAGTAGGTGTGCCTGCCTCAGTCTGTGAGAGGTCTCTGTGGAAGAAGGGCCTCAATGTATTAGTAGGACTCAGTATAAGTAGGCCTCAGTGTTAGTTCGCCTCAGTGGGAGAAAGGCCCCAGTCTGAGAAAGCCCACAGTTTGAGAAGGTCTCAGTGGGAGAAAGGCTTCAGTGTTAGTTTGCCTCAGTGGGAGAAAGGCCCCAGTCTGAGAAAGCACTCAGTTTGAGAAGGTCTCAGTGGGAGAAAGGCTTCAGTGTTAGTTCGCCTCAGTGGGAGAAAGGCCCCAGTCTGAGAGAGCCCTCAGTTTGAAAAGGTCTCAGTGGGAGAAAGGCTTCAGTGTTAGTTCGCCTCAGTGGGAGAAAAGCCCCAGTCTGAGAGAGCCCTCAGTTTGAAAAGGTCTCAGTGGGAGAAAGGTTTCAGTGTTAGTTTGCCTCAGTGTGGGAGAGGTATCAGTCTGAAAGGCCTCAGTGTTAGTAGGCCTGGTGTGAGAAGCTTCAGTGAGAAAAGCCCAGGTTGAAGGCATCATGTGTGAAGCAAATGTGAGTAGATCAATAGGTATCACTCCGACAGGAAGGTAACAGCGCTCCATGAAGACATGCTGGCCACATGACCTTGGAGCGTCTACGAACAACTCTAGCTCTTCAGCTTAGAAATTGAGATGTGGTTCGGACACAACTGGACTTTAATGTCAAGGGAAATCCTATTGCTCTCAGACCGAGGACTTTCTCCCACTGAGGCGAACTAACACTGAAGCCTACTAACACACCGAGGCCCTGTTTTCAAACAATTTGGAAGAGCCACAAAGTGAGATCCGAGGCCAGCGCTATGTCCACTCCTGGTCTAGAAAAACTGCCCCTTTGTTGCTGCTTCGCTCCAACCTGTTATGTCCAGAAACAAGTCCCATCATTGTGAGTAACTCTTATTTCCCTTTTCCAGCGAGCTGAAGTTTTGGGAACTGGAATTCACCAGCCGGTCATTCCTCTACAAACAGGTACAGCGAGAGATCTAGCTTTCCTTTTACAGAATAAGACCAACTATGAAATTATTGGCATGGGGTTCGGTGTGGGAAGTTTGGTCCAATACTATCTATCTTTTTCTGAGATCCAAGTAGGGAGGGGAGAGCAGGCGTGCTCGGCACAAGGCCACAGGCAAGGAAGAGCGTGTGAGGCTGGAGAGAGGCTTGTGCCACAGAGTCCCTTCAAGGAATGGGGGTTCTGGTGGGAAATTTGGCCTAATTCTATTGTTAGTGGGGTTCAGAATACTCTTTGATTGTAGGTGAACTAGAAATCCTAGCAACTACAACTCCCAAATCTCAAGGTCTATTTCCCCCAAACTCCCCAGTATTCACATTCGGAGCATATTTCATATTTGTGCCAAGTTTGGTCCAGATCTATCATTGTTTGAGTCCACAGTGCTCCCTGGATGTAGGCGAACTACAACTCCCAAACTCAAGGTCAATGCCCACCAAAGCCTTCCAGCATTTTCTGTTGGTTGTGGGAGTTCTGTGTGCTAAGTTTGGTACAATTCCATCGTTGGTGGAGTTCAAAATACTCTTTGCTTTTAGGCGAACTATAAATCCCACCAACTACAACCTCCAAATCTCAAGGTCTATTTTACTCAAACTCCCCCAGTATTCACATTTGGGGCATATTGCATATTTGTGCCAAGTTTGGTCCAGATCTATCACTGTTTGAGTCCACAGTGCTCCCTGGATGTAGGCGAACTACAACTCCCAAACTCAAGGTCAATGCCCACCAAACCCTTCTAGTGTTTTCTCTTGGTCATGGGAGTCCTGTGTGCCAAGTTTGGTTCAATTCCATCGTTGGTGGAGTTCAGAATGCTCTTTGATTTTAGGCGAACTATAAATCCCAGCAACTACAACTCCCAAATGACAAAACCAATCTCCCCCCTCAATCCCACCAATATTCAAATTTGGGCCAAATTTGGTCCGGTAAATGCAAATACATCCTGCGTATCAGATATTTACATTGCGATTCATAATAGGAGCAAAATTACATGAAGATGAAACAGAATGAAATGGTGCTCTCTGGTGGTAACCTCCGGAAGAGCTGTTTGCTTTTATGCATAGTTGCTTGAAATCTATATAAATAAATACATAATGTTTGTTTGTGGGATTAACATAACTCAAAAACCACTGGACGAACTGACACGAAATTTGGACACTATACCCCTAACAGACCAACGAGTGACCATAACTCATAAAAAAACACCAAAAAACAGGACTTAAAAACCCAAAAAGCTAAATGACGAAAAGCTAAATGATGATGCAGAAAAAAGGGAAAGAAGAGGAAGGGAAAGAAGGGGAGAAAGAAAGAAAGAAAGAAAGAAAGAAAGAAAGAAAGAAAGAAAGAAGGAGGGAAATAAAGAAGGAAAGGGAGAAGGAAGGAAAGAGGTAGAGAAGGAAGAAAGGAGAAAAAGGGGAAGGAAAAGAAAAAAGGGGGAAGGAAGGAAAGAGGGAGAGAAGGAAAGAAAAAAGGGAAGGAAGGAAAGAGGGAGCGAAGGAAGGAGGGAAAGAAGGAGAGAAAGAGGGAGGGAAGGAAAGAGAGAAGGAAGGAAGGAAAGGAAAGAGGTAGGGAAGGAAGAAATGAGAGAAAGAAGAAGATAAAGAAAAGGGGGAAGGAAGGAAAGGTAGAGAAGGAAGGAAGGAGAGAAGGAAAGAAAAAAGGGAAGGAAGGAGGGAGTGAAGGAAGGAGGGAAAGAAGGAGAGAAAAGGGAGGGAAGGAAAGAGAGAAGGATGGAAGCAAAAAACGAAGGAAGGAAGTAAAGGAAAGAGGGAAATAGGCGGGGAAGGAAGAAATTAGAGGAAAAAGAGCTAAAGAAAAAGGGGGAAGGAAAGAAAGGTAGAGAAGGAAAGAAAACTGGGAAGGAAGGAAAGAGGGAGTGAAGGAAGGAGAGAAAGAGGGAGGGAAGAAAAGAGAGAAGGAAGATGGAAGCAAAAAAGAAGGAAGGAAGAGAAAAGAAAGAGGGAAAGGAGGGGAAGGAAGAAAGAGAGAAAAAAGAAAAGAGGGAAGGAAGGAAAGGTAGAGAAGGAAGGAAGGGGAGAAAGAAAGAAAAAAGGGAAGGAAATAGGTAATCAAGGAAGGAGAGAAAAAGGGAGGAAAGGAAAGAGAGAAGAAAAAAAAGGAAAAAAAGGAAGGAAGGAAGGAAGGAAGGAAGGAAGGAAGGAAGGAAGAAGAAGGAAGAAAGAAAGAAAGAAAGAAAGAAAGAAAGAAAGAAAGAAAGAAAGTAGGGAAGAAATGAGAGAAAAAAGAGCTAAAGAAAAAGGGTAAGGAAGGGAAGGAAGGAAGGAAGGAAGGAAGGAAGGAAGGAAGGAAGGAGAGAAAGAAAGAAAAAAGGAAGGAAGGAAGGAAGGAAAGAAAGAGGGAGTGAAAGAAGGAGGGAAAGAAAGAGAGAAAAGGGAGGGGAGGAAAGAGAGAAGAATGGAAGCAAAAAACGAAGGAAGGAAGTAGGGAAGGAAGAAATGAGAGAAAAAAGAGCTAAAGAAAAAGAGGGGAAGGAAGGAAAGGGAGAGAAGGAAGGAAGGAAGGAGAGAAGGAAAGAAAAATGGGAAGGGAAGAGGGAGTAAAGGAAGGATGGAAAGAAGGACAGAAAGAGGGAGGGACGGTTGGCCACAGCAATGCGTGGCTGGTACAGCTGGTATATAGATCGAGAGAGAGAGAGAGAGAATGTGGAAGAGTTCCTATCTCGGGGTGTTTTTACATAAATGCTGGTTGGCCATCTGTCGGGAGGGCTCGGATTGTGTATTCCTGGGGATTGGACTGGAAGGCCCTTAGCGTCTCTTCCAACGCTAGGATTCATTGAGTTGTTTTGGAAACCCTTTTAGGATCGGAGAGAAAATATCTGGAGATAATTCCGTGCCCTGTGGGTGTTGGAAACGTTGTCTCATTGGACCATGTCTTTCTTGCTCAGTGTTTCCCCGACTAGAAGGGATGTGGTCAGTTTCTTTTTTGCCTTTTCTCCCCACGCTTCTCGTGCGTTTCGTCTATTTCAAAAGGAAACTCTGCCTTTATTTATACCTCTGTCGCCTCCCCAAAAGAACGCGGAGGAAACACACACAAATATTACAGTCTCTTCGTTGGGTTGTACATAACATGCCGTTTCCTGCTGTTATTGCCATTTGATTCACGATCAGTGCGTAAGTGCACCAGGTGAAGATAACAACCTTCCGAATGTGTGTCAGTAGTGGTCACGAACTTTTCCGCAAAAGGAAAAAAATATTGCAATGGTTTCCTTTCTGAAAGCACAGTGGTTTCTGGTGAGTGAAACGTCAGTCTCTAAATAAATAGAATCATCGACTCTCCAATGCCAGAAATACAGCTTAATGGTGTAAGTTTGAAAATGGTGACCGTTTCTGCTCCCTTGGCAGCCACCTCTCCACAAAAGTCAACATCGACACTGAAATACAACTCCGCCTGAGCTCTGTGAGTGCAGCATTTTTCCGAATGAAGCAGAGAGTGTTTGAGGACCGTGACATCCGTAAGGAGACCAAGGGGCTTGTTTATAAAACCATTGTCCTCCCAACACTTCTATAGCAGCCACGTTACAAAGGAGCTACTGTGTGAAGCTCCTTTGTAACTTTGGTGTGAGAAGGCGCTCTGTGAGGGCGAAGCAGTTTATCTGAATGAGAAGGAAGCCCAGCGTGGAAGCAAAGAAGGAAGTATAAAGAACTTTGTGTTGTGGAAACCTTGTTCTTGTAAATGGGGCAACCATATTATTTTACTATGAAGGAAAGCCTCCTGTGGAAGAGATAACATTGGTCTGTGTGTTTTTGTTCTTTTTATCACTTATTCTTCAATAAACTGCTTTGCTATTTCATCTTGAACTGGATTGTGCGTTAAGTATAGAGGTGATTCCCAGCCTTGGAAGGCAACAATAAAAGTCAAATCCATCTCTCAGTGCTAGACCTTCTCCATCATCTCAATTTCTGAGTTCCCCTTCCTGTCTTTCAGGTCCGCCGCATGGCTGGTGTGTTAGTGGCCGTGGGCCAGCACCGCCTGGACCCTGAGCACGTGAAGAAGCTCCTGGAGATCCGAGACCTGATGGCTTATCCCTCAAGCACCATGGCACCAGCATGTGGCCTCTTTCTGAAGAACGTGGAGTACTGCGAAGCCGGTGAGGACTAGTAAAGGACGAGGTGGAGGGCAACTCTGATGAGAAAATGTCAATCTCTTTGTTGGGACAGACTATTGCCTTTGGGCATAGATCTAACATTACAGTCTACAAAATACTCTGAGGCCTCTCACACTGAGGGCTCTATCAGACTAAAGCCTTTCTCTCACTGAGGCAAACTAACACTGAGGCCTTCTCATACTGAGGCCTACTAACACACTGACTTCTCTTGTCAGATATATTAAAAATTAACTAGACATTTTTAATTACAAAAATGTGAGTCAAGCACTGAAAGGGTTACTTTTATACAATGACTCAGCAAAAGCTGCAGTTCGATATAAGGTGTGCCTGTAGCTTAGTAGCCCTCAGTCTGTGAGAGGTCTCTGTGGGAGAAAGGCCTCAGTGTGTTAGGCAGGCCTCAGTATAAGAAGGTCTCAGTGTTAGTTAACCTCAGTGGGAGAAAAGTCTCAGTCTGTGAGAAGTCTCTGTGGGAGAAGGGCTTCAGTGTGTTAGTAGGCATCAGTATAAGAAGGCCTCAGTGTTAGTTAACCTCAGTGGGAGAAAAGTCAGTCTGTGAGAAGTCTCTGTGGGAGAAGGGCTTCAGTGTGTTAGTAGGCCTCAGAATGAGAAAGCCTCAGTGTTAATTAACCTCAGTGGGAGAAAAGTCTCAATCTGTGAGATCTCTGTGGGAGAAGGGCTTCAGTGTGTTAGTAAACCTCAGTATAAGAAGGCCTCAGTGTTAGTTAACCTCAATGGGAGAAAAGTCTCACTGTGAGAAGTCTCTGTGGGAGAAGGGCCTCAGTGTGTTAGTAGGCCTCAGTATGAGAAGGCCTCAGTGTTAGTTTGCCTCAGTGGGAGAAAGGCTTCAGCCTGATAGAGCCCTCAATGTGAGAGGCCTCAGAGGGAGAAAGGTCTAAGTCTGAGAGAGCCCTCAGCGCGAGAATGCCTCAGTGGGGAAAAGGCCTCATTATGAAATTATGTTGGCATAACTGCGGAAAAACAGGAACATACACCCACATGTGGTGGGAATGTGAAAAAATACAAAAGTTCCACAAAATAATCAAGAAAGAAATGGAGGAGCTATTAGGGATAAATACAGAATGGAACAAGACTATTTTTCACTCAGAAATTGGAATTAAAGGGGAATTTAAAGAACAGGAGGAAATAATAAAACACATGATGGATGAAAATATTTTGACTGCTAATTTTGAAGATTATATCTTTCTAAGTATTATACAATAAAATTATTTTAAAAAATTATGAGAAGGCCTCAGTGTGAAGTAGGCCTCAGTGTTATTAGTATGAGAAGGCCTGGTGTGAGAAGCTTCTGTGAAGAAGCCCCAGGTTGAAGGCCATCGTTTGTGAAGGCTGATAGGTATAAAAAGCTACTGTGTGAAGCTCCTGTGTAACCATGTGAGAGGGTGCTCTGTGAGAGCGAAGCTCTTTATCTGCATGAGAAAGAAGCTGCATGGAAGCAAAGAAGGAAGTAGAACCTTGTTTTTGTAAATTGTTAATAAGCCCACTCACCCAACAAGTCTGACTATCCCAGCCTGACTTTCCCCTTAATCTTGTCTTTGCAGATCTGGAGATCGGAAGAACCGAAGCTGAAACGTAGGGTTTAATGAAACGGGCTTCGCTTTGGAATGGACTCTTTGGACGAAGAAGGAAGGCCGGCCCTTCCTGTATTCAATGTAAATACATCAATAAACCCACTTGATCACACTATTGATCGTTTTGCTCTCTCTGTATCTACCAGAACTTGAGGGTGCTATTGTGTCCTGCTATCCCACTATCCGAAATACTTCCAAAAATCCAACATTTTCCAAATGTATATCTGAGATACTGAGTCTTTTGTTTTCAGATGGTTCCACAGACACAGCCTTGGTTGCCCTATTTACAATAAAAAGGTGTCCATAACACAAATAATGTTCTTTATACTTCCTTCTTTACTTCCACACTGGGCTTCTTTCTTGTCCCAAATTATGAGGAGGCCTCAGTGGGAGCAGGCCTCAGTGTGAAGGCAGCCTCAGTGTTATTAGGCCTCCGAGCCCTTTGCTTTCAGATGGTTCAGCGGACACAGCCTTGGTTGCCCTATTTACAATAAAAAGGTGTCCATAACGCAAATAAAGTTCTTTATACTTCCTTCTTTACTTCCACACTGGGCTTCTTTCTAGTCCCAAATTATGAGAAGGCCTCAGGGAGAGCAGGCCTCAGTGTGAAGTAGGCCTCAGTATGAGAAGTCCTCAGTGTTACTTTGCCTCAATGGGAGAAAGGCCTCAGTCTGATAGAACCCTCAGTGTGAGAGAGACCTCAGTGGGAGAATTACCTTCTGGCTCTATGTATATGAAACATAAATACATTTCAGTGTTTAGACTTGGGTCCCGTCTCCAAAGTCCGAAATACTACAAAATCTGAAAAATCCAAAAATCCGTCAGGTTCCATTTTGGATGAAGCTTAATCTTGGCAGGTTCCCGATTTCCGCTCTTATTGAATAGGAAACAGAGAGAACGAAGAGTATATTAATTTTCTCAGATCAGCAGACTTGGTTGCTCTTTCTATCTAACTGGCAACCTCAACTCCCGGTGCTTTTTGCTTCCTGTGGCTTCTCGCAACGCAACAAAAGAGTAGGTGGGCCCTTTGCTTTGCAAAACGACACACGGAAACTGCAGCTCAGAGCATCCAAAAGTTCAAGGAGAGGCATCAAGGTGCAGCAACCGGGAGACAACTATCATTGGTAGACAAACATCAAGAGACCAACAAATGGGTAAGTCACTATTCTTACTACTTCTACTACTAGTACTACTACTACTGTTGGTCATCGAATTGAAAACTAGAGAGGGTTCCTGAGTCTTTAATCTATGCACACCATAAAAGTGAAAATATGTATGTATGTGTGTGGCTGGGGTGTCCACTTACACACACAGGCTCCCACTTCCACAAATAGCTATAGCTCCCACTACTCAAGAGACACTAATGGCCCTCCCTCCAATGACACTGAGGTTATAGAGAGCACCATGAACATGTACAAAAGCCCTGCCAATGTCCTCCACCAACACCATACTGCCCACCATCCTTTCATACAGGGACCATTTCAGACCTAGATTTTGTGTGTTTCCTCCACCACAGACATCTCAGTGTTTCTGACTCTCTCCATTGGTGGCACCATGAACATGGCCAAAAGCCCTGCCAATGTCCTCCACCAACGCCATCCTGCCCATCACCCAAGTGAAGGCTTTCATACAAAGACCATTTCATCCTAGATTGTGTTTCCTCCACCACAGATATCACAGTGTTTCTGACTCTCCATTGGTGGCACCATGAACATGTCCAAGAGCCCTGCCAATGTCCTCCACACACACCATACTGCCCACCACCCAAGTGAAGGCTTTCATATGGGGACAATTCCCTCCTAGACTGTATGTGTTTCCTCCACCACAGACATCCCAGTGTTTCTGACTCTCTCCATTGGTGGCATCATGAACATGTCCAAGAGCCCTGCCAATGTCCTCCACCAACACCATCCTGCCCATCACCCAAGTGAAGGCTTTCATATGGGGACAATTCCCTCTTAGATTTTTTGTTTCCTCCACCACAGACATCCCAGTGTTTCTGACTCTCTCCATTGGTGTGGAATTTGCATGACCGCGCCCACTACCTCTCCCATAATCTTTCCCTACTCATTTCTATGGCACACAGCAAACAGAGGAATTGATCAGCAACTGAACATACATACTAGAGAGGTTTAGGGAGAATTCACCATGATTTATAAGAGTTGTAGGTCCTGGGATACATAGTTCACCTGCAATCAAGGAGTGCTCCGAACTCCAGCAAAGATGGAATTTGGCCAAACTTGACACACAGAGCCCCCATGACCACCAAAAAATCCTGGAAGTCTTTGGGGAAAATTCACCTTGATTTTAGAGAGTTGTAGTTCACCTACATCCAGAGAGCACTATGAACCCAAACACCTATGGATCTAGACCAAACTTGGCACACATACCTGATATGCTAAAATTTGATTACTGGAGGGGTTTGGGGAGAACTTTTTCTTTCAGTGAGCTGTAGTTCACCCACAACCAGAGAAATTGTGGTCTCCACCGATGATGGACCCGACCCAAACTTGCCACACATAATCCCCATGACTAACCCAACCTACTGGAGGGATATGAGGGGACTGACTCACCATAGTGGAAGTTGTAGTTTACCCTGTAGCCAGAGAACACACTGAACCCCACTAATGATGCATCTAGAGCAGACTTGCCCAACATAACAAACTTGAAGTATTGATTAGCGTTTCGGGGGGTTAACCTGACATGAAGGGAGTTGTAGTTTACCCTGCAGCCAGAAAGCACACTGAACCCCACCAATGATGCATCTAGAACAAACTTGCCAAACATAATAAACCTAAAGTACTGATGGGAGTTGTCCGAGGTTAACCTGACATGATGAGAGTTGTAGTTTACCCTGCAACCAGAGAGCACACTGAACCCCACCGATGATACATATAGTGGAAACTTGCCTATATGTTATTAGGACTCAGTATGAGAAGGCCTGGGGTTAACTTGACACGATGGGAGTTGTAGTTCACCCACAACTTTATGCATTTTGTACATGATGGGAGTTGTAGTTCACCCACAACTTTATGCATTTTGTACATGACGGGAGTTGTAGTTCACCCACAACTCTATGCATTTTGTACATGACAGGTGTTGTAGTTCACCCACAACTTTATGCATTTTGTACATGATGGGAGTTGTAGTTCACCTGCAACTTTATGCATTTTATACATGATGGGAGTTGTAGTTCACCTGCAACTTTATGCATTTTGTACATGATGGGAGTTGTAGTTCACCCAAAATTCTATGCATTTTGTACATGATGGAAGTTGTAGTTCACCCACAACTTTATGCATTTTGTACATGATGGGAGTTGTAGTTCACCCACAACTTTATGCATTTTGTACATGATGGGAGTTGTAGTTCACCTGCAACTTTATGCATTTTGTACATGACAGGAGTTGTAGTTCACCCACAACTTTATGCATTTTGTACATGACGGGAGTTGTAGTTCACCCACAACTCTATGCATTTTGTACATGATGGGAATTGTAGTTCACCCACAACTCTATGCATTTTGTACATGACGGGAGTTGTAGTTCACCCACAACTCTATGCATTTTGTACATGATGGGAATTGTAGTTCACCTGCAACTTTATACATTTGGTCTCTTGAGGTCTAAAGATACAAATAGCCCGGGCACTCAAGCTAGTGCAATATAACAGAGTACTCCAGCTTCCATTGGCTTGCTAGCAGTGGCCAAAGATTATGGTTACTGTAGTCCGTAACAGCTCAGGAGGCATTCAGTTATTTTAGTAGCTCGAATCAGAGATGTGGACAAAACCCGTTCTTATATTGTTTCTTTTTTATTGCAGTTCGTGGTTGTGTTGTTCTTTGGCTGTTCCTTCACGAGATCCAACTGGCACTCTTTCTGGATGCCAAGGCTTGAGCACCAAAGTTGACTTCCTGTTTGAAGGCAACATGCACAGAGGCATCTGATCTCCGGGAAATAAGCAAAAAAGGAAAATGGAGAACGCCACGTGGTCGGCCAACGCCACCTCAGTGTGCAAACTCCAAGCGGACTTCCAGTATTCCCTCTTCACCATCATCTACAGCACCGTCTTTGTCCTGGGCCTCCTCGAAAACGGAGCCGCGTTGTACCTGCTGACCTACAACGTTCTCAAGACCCCTCAGTCCTCCACCTTCCTGGTGAACTTAGCCGTGGTGGACATCCTCTTTGCGTGCATCTTGCCGTTCAAAATCCACTACCATTTCAACCACAACAACTGGGTCTTTGGGGACGCGGCTTGCCGGGTCACAGGATGCATGTACTTCCTCAACATCTACCTCAGCATCGCCTTCTTCACTTGCATCTGCGTCGACCGCTACGTGGCCGTCTTGTACCCCTTCGCCTACATCCGGATCAAGAGTCCGCACTACCGGACGGTGGCTGTGGTCCTCTGGGTGGTTGCTTTGAGCGTCGCCGGCCCGCTGGTCCTCGGAGGACCTCTCCACTCCACCGAGAACAAGGCCACCCTGTGTTTTGAGAACTTCGGGACCTCCAACTGGATCGGACGCATGGTGCCCTACAACGTCTGCGCCCTGGTCTTCGGCTTCGCTATCCCTTTCGCCATCATTTTGGTCAGCTACCCATTGATCGCCAATCGGATCGCTCACATCCCTCGCATCGCGCACAAGAGGAAGGCCTTGGTCACCATCTACCTCATCCTCTTGATCTGCGTCACCTGCTTCCTTCCCTACCACCTCACCCACTTGCTGCACTTCCTGATGCGGGCCGGGGTGATCCAGGACTGCGCCTTCGCCGCGTTCATTTACAAGATGCGCAGGGTCACGTTGGCGCTGGTCAGTTTCAACTGCTGCCTGAACCCCGTTTTGTACTACTTCACTTTGGCCGCCCAAAAGTGGCGCTGGCCCATTTGCTTCCGGAAGAGGAAGACCCTGGTCTACACCATCTGCGGAGGTGGCCAAGGTGGTGAGTGTACTGCCGAACTGAGAGAAATAACTGCATTACGGCAGGGGCAGAGTAAGTGAGGCTCATCCAGACTTTTAACGCATCTCACTTCAGCAGCCCCAGCTTAGGGACAGAGAGTTTCATCTACGCTGACGATCATGCCATCAACGCTCAAACAGAGAGCTTTAAACGATTCAACAGAAGCTCTCCGAAGGTCTAGGTCAGTGTTTCTCAACCTTCCTAATGCTGCGACCCCTTAATCCAGTTCTTCATATAGAATCATAGAATCAAAGAGTTGGAAGAGACCTCCTGGGCCATCCAGTCCAACCCCATTCTGCCAAGAAGCAGGAATATTGCATTCAAATCACCCCTGACAGATGGCCATCCAGCCTCTGTTTAAAAGCTTCCAAAGAAGGAGCCGCCACCACACTCTGCGGCAGAGAGTTCCACTCCTGAATGGCTTTCACAGTCAGGAAGTTCTTCCTCATGTTCAGATGGAATCTCCTCTCTTGTAGTTTGAAGCCATTGTTCCGCGTCCTAGTCTCCAAGGAAGCAGAAAACAAGCTTGCTCCCTCCTCCTCCCTGTGGTTTCCTCTCACATATTTATACATGGCTATCATATCTCCTCTCAGCCTTCTCTTCTTCAGGCTAAACATGCCCAGCTCCTTAAGCCGCTCCTCATAGGGCTTGTTCTCTAGTCTCCAGGGAAGCAGAAAACAAGCTTGCTCCTCCTCCCTGTGGCTTCCTCTCACATATTTATACATGGCTATCATATCTCCTCTCAGCCTTCTCTTCTTCAGGCTAAACATGCCCAGCTCCTTAAGCCGCTCCTCATAGGGCTTGTTCTCCAGACCCTTGATCATTTTAGTTGCCCTCCTCTGGACACATTCCAGCTTCTCACTATCTCTCTTGAATTGTGGTGCCCAGAATTGGACACAATATTCCAGGTGTGGTCTAACCAAGGCAGAATAGAGCATGGGGAGCATGACTGGATCTAGACACTAGACTCCTCTTGATGCAGGCCAACATCCCATTGGCTTTTTTTGCCGCCACATCACATTGTTGGCTCTTTTTCACACGTACTGCTCTCAAGCCAGGCCTCATTCTCCCCCATTTTGTATCTTTGCATTTCGTTTTTCCTGCCTAAGTGGAGTATCTTGCATTTGTCCCTGTTGAACTTCATTTTGTTAGTTTTGGCCCATGTTGTGGTGACCCGTACAAACAAAGAAGCACCAAGGAGTTTCATCTATGCTGACGATCATGCCATCACTGCTCAAGCATAGAGCTTTGAAATGGTTTAACAGAAACTCTCCGAAGCTCAGTGTTTCTCAACCTTCCTAATGTTGCAACCCCTTAATACAGTTCCTCATGTTGTGGTGACCCCTTCAAATGATCAGCCACTGCCAGAAGTAACAAAGTGTTTAATTTGTGCTGACGATCGTGCCATCACCGCTCAAGCAGGGAGCTTTGAAATGGCTGAACAGAAGCTCTCCGAAGCTCAGTGTTTCTCAACCATCCTAATGCTGTGATCCCTTAATACAGTCCCTCATGTTGTGGTGACCCCTACAAACAAAGAAGTGCCAAGGAGTTTCATCTATGCTGACCATCATGCCATCACTGCTCAAGCAGGGAGCTTTGAAATGGTTGAACAGAAGCTCTCTGAAGCTCTAGGACAGTGTTTCTCAATCTTCCTAATGCCTCGACCCCTTAATACAGTTCTTCATGTTGTGGTGACCCCTACAAGCGCCAGAACGCCAAAGAGTTTCATCTATGCTGACGATCATGCCATCACCACTCAAGAAGGGAGCTTTGAAATGGTTGAACAGAAGTCTCCAAAACTCTTGTTTCTCAACCTTTCTAAAGCTGCAACCCCTTAATACAGTTCCTCATCTTGTGGTGACACCTACAAATGATCATCCACTGCCAGAAACGACAAACTGTTTCATCTATCCCGACGATCGTACCATCACCACTCAAGCAGGGAGCTTTGAAATGGCAGAACTGAAGCTCCCTGAAGCTGTGTTTCTCAATCTTCCGAATGCCGTGATCCCTTAATACAGTTCCTCATGTTGTGGTGACCCCTATAAACAAAGAAGCGCCAAAGAGTATCATCTATGCTGACGATCATGCCATCACCACTCAAGCACAGAGCTTTGAAATGGTTCAACAGAAGCTCTCTGAAGCTCCGTTTAATGCAAGCGAAGTGCGCGCAAGGGATATGTTTGTGATCGTTGATGATTGTAGTCGTTATTCTTATTGTTTATTGTTGAAAGAAAAAGGTCAAGTATTTGAAAAGTTTAACGATTGGGTTAATCTGAAAGAAAATATAATAATTACCCATCACCAGCCACTTTAAAGGAGTGTGATAAAGGCTACGTACTTGTCACAGAGGCCAGTAATGCTGTTTAAACAAGAGTGGGTTAGCGACACATCCCACCAACCCTCGTCTTGTTATCTCCATTTGGGTTGGAGTTTATGGGGAATGTGGTCCAGCACATTTAAAACTCACCTGGATAGGGAAAGATTGGCATAAAGGCCATTCAGGGTGCCCAAGAATTTAGAAAACATCTTTATTTTTCTTTGAGAAGCATATACACACACGCACACCCTCTTGAGCAACACCAATATTTACAGTGTCCTTTTATGGCAGTCTCTGCTATGGCCTCCCAAAGATACCCAGGGCTTAGGCAGTGATTTGGGGCAGCGCTTTCTTCAGGAGAGAAGTCACATAGCTACCCATTTCTTCATCCTACACAAGGAATCAATACACACATATATATATTTAAAGTATTCATGGGTTTCTTACGCCCCGAGTCCCCATTGGGGTATAAATAATAATAATAATAATAATTATTATTATTATTATTATTATTATTATTGGCTAGAACAACACTCTAGTTTCCAATAGCTCTCTCTTCTCCTATTACACAAACTTCAAATTAATACACAGTAAGAGAGGAGAATCCATTGATTCCGGATGAGTAAATAAATGTCCAAAGTTGGGTCGGAGTGCGAGACAAGGGTTCAAATCCACACACAGCCACAGAAACCCATTTTTTGAAGGGAAGGAAGGAAAGAGGGAAGGAAAGTGAGAAGGAAAGAGAGAAGGAAAGAGAAGGAAGGATGGACGCAAAGAGCCAAGGAAGAAAGGAAAGAAAGAGGTAGAGAAGGAAGAAAGGAGAAAAAGAGAAGGGGAATAAAAGCGGGGAAGGAAGGAAAGACGTAGAGAAGGAAAGTGAGAAGGAAAGAAAGAAGGAAAGAGAAGGAAGGATGGGCACAAAGAGCCAAGGAAGAAAGGAAAGAAAGAGGTAGAGAAGGAAGAAAGGAGAAAAAGAGAAGGGGAATAAAAGCGGGGAAGGAAGGAAAGACGTAGAGAAGGAAAGTGAGAAGGAAAGAAAGAAGGAAAGAGAAGGAAGGATGGGCGCAAACAGCCAAGGAAGAAAGGAAAGAAAGAAAGAGGTAGAGAAGGAAGAAAGGAGAAAAAGAGAAGGGGAATAAAAGCGGGGAAGGAAGGAAAGACGTAGAGAAGGAAAGTGAGAAGGAAAGAAAGAAGGAAAGAGAAGGAAGGATGGGCGCAAACAGCCAAGGAAGAAAGGAAAGAAAGAAAGAGGTAGAGAAGGAAGAAAGGAGAAAAAGAGAAGGGGAATAAAAGCGGGGAAGGAAGGAAAGACGTAGAGAAGGAAAGTGAGAAGGAAAGAAAGAAGGAAAGAGAAGGAAGGATGGGCGCAAACAGCCAAGGAAGAAAGGAAAGAAAGAGGTAGAGAAGGAAGAAAGGAGAAAAAGAGAAGGGGAATAAAAGCGGGGAAGGAAGGAAAGACGTAGAGAAGGAAAGTGAGAAGGAAAGAAAGAAGGAAAGAGAAGGAAGGATGGGCGCAAACAGCCAAGGAAGAAAGGAAAGAAAGAAAGAGGTAGAGAAGGAAGAAAGGAGAAAAAGAGAAGGGGAATAAAAGCGGGGAAGGAAGGAAAGACGTAGAGAAGGAAAGTGAGAAGGAAAGAAAGAAGGAAAGAGAAGGAAGGATGGGCACAAAGAGCCAAGGAAGAAAGGAAAGAAAGTGGTAGAGAAGGAAGAAAGGAGAAAAAGAGAAGGGGAATAAAAGCGGGGAAGGAAGGAAAGAGGTAGAGAAGGAAAGTGAGAAGGAAAGAAAGAAGGAAAGAGAAGGAAGGATGGGCGCAAACAGCCAAGGAAGAAAGGAAAGAGGTAGAGAAGGAAGAATGGAGAAAAAGAGAAGGGGAATAAAAGCGGGGAAGGAAGGAAAGAGGTAGAGAAGGAAAGAGAGAAGGAAAGTGAGAAGGAAAGAAAGAAGGAAAGAGAAGGAAGGATGGGCGCAAAGAGCCAAGGAAGAAAGGAAAGAAAGAGGTAGAGAAGGAAGAATGGAGAAAAAGAGAAGGGGAATAAAAGCGGGGAAGGAAGGAAAGAGGTAAAGGAAAGAGAGAAGGAAAGTGAGAAGGAAAGAAAGAAGGAAAGAGAAGGAAGGATGGGCGCAAAGAGCCAAGGAAGAAAGGAAAGAAAGAGGTAGAGAAGGAAGAAAGGAGAAAAAGAGAAGGGGAATAAAAGCGGGGAAGGAAGGAAAGAGGTAGAGAAGAAAAGAGAGAAGGAAAGTGAGAAGGAAGGAAAGAAGGAAAGAGAAGGAAGGATGGATGCAAAGAGCGAAGGAAGAAAAGAAAGAGGTAGAGAAGGAAGAAAGGAGGAAAAGAGAAGGGGAATAAAAGTGGGGAAGGAAGGAAAGAGGTAGAGAAGGAAAGAGAGAAGGAAAGAAAACACCGAAAGGAAGGAAAGAGGGAGGGAAGGTTGGCCACAGCAACGCATGGTGGGTACAGCTAGTAAATTTAGAAAATAATACAATACAACTGTAATATTGTAATATAATACTAAATAGAATAATTATAATATAATGTGCTGCAAGAGGTCTGGCAAAAATAAAGGTTTTTGCAACTTTAATAAACTTTTTCTCGTGTTTTTATTCTGATAGAACCAATGATAGGAAATGACAGGAATTAAAAAATGTGTTACATAGTGTAATATATTATATAATTTAGCATAATAATAATAATAATATATTGCAATTGTAACATAATAATATAATATAATAATAAATATAACAATAATATAATATAATCTATATAAACAAAAATGTAATGTTCATTTATGGGATGAACAGAACTCAAAAACAACGGGATGAATTGATACGAGATTTGGACACTATACCCCTAACAGACCAACAAGTGACCATCACTCATAAAAAAAAAAACCAAAAATAGCAGAAAGGACTTAAAACCCCAAAAAAGCTAAATGACGATGCAGAAAAAAGGAAAGGAAGAGGAAGGGAGGGAGGGAGGAAAAGGAAGAAGAAAAGAGAGAAGGAAGGATGGAAGCAAAGAGCGAAGGAAGGAAAGATGTAGAGAAGGAAGAAAGGAGAAAGAAAGAAAGAAAGAAAGAAAGAGGGAGGGAAAGGAAGAAGGAAAGAGAGAAGGAAGGATGGAAGCAAAGAGCAAAGGAAGGAAGGAAAGAGGTAGAGAAGGAAGAAAGGAGAGAAAGAGGAAAAGAAAAGGGGGAAGGGGAGAAGGATGGAAGTAAAGAGCAAAGGAGGGAAGGAAAGAGGTAATGAAGGAAGAAAGGAGAGAAAGAGGGAGAGAAAGAAAGAAGGAAAGAGAGAAGGAAGGATGGAAGTAAAGAGCAAAGGAAGAAAGGAAAGAGGTAGAGAAGGAAGAAAGGAGAGAAAGAGGGAGAGAAAGAAAGAAGGAAAGAGAGAATGGAAGCAAAGAGCAAAGGAAGGAAGGAAAGAGGTAGAGAAGGAAGAAAGAGAGAAAGAAAGAGGGAGGGAAAGAAGGAAAGAGGGAGCAAGAAAGAAGGAAAGAGAGAAGGAAGAATGGAAGCAAAGAGCAAAGGAAGGAAGAAAGGAGAGAAAGAAGTAGGAAAAAAGGGGGGAAGGAAGAAAAGAGATATAAGAGGGAGGAAGGAGAGAAAGAAATAAAAAAGGGAAGGAAAGAAAGAGGGAGCGAAGGAAGGAGAGACATGGAGGAAGGAAAAAAGGAGAGAAAGAGGGAGGAAAAGAAAAAGGGGGGAAGGAAGGAAAGAGGCAAAGAAGGAAGGAAGGAGAGAAGGAAAGAAGAAACGGGAAGAAGGAACAAGGGAGCAAAGGAAGGTGGGAAAGAAAGGCGAGAAAGAGGGAAAGTTGACCACAGAAACGCATGGCGGGTACAGCTAATATAACATAATAATACACATAATTATAATGTATCAGTATAATAAAATTATAACAATACAATTATAATAATATATTAAATATCTATATAAATAAAAATGTAATGTTCGTTTGTGGGATTAACATAACTCAGTAACCACTGGACGAATTGATACGAAATTTGGACAGTACACCCCTAACAGACAAGTCACACTATCTCAGCTTCAGAGGAAGCCAAATACAAACCTCCTTGAACAAATCTTGCATTAGGGTCGCCATAATAATAATAATAATAATAATAATAATAATAATAATAATAATAGTATCGTATATACTCGAGTATAAGCTGACCCGAATATAAGCCGAGGCACCTAATTTTACCACAAAAAAACTGGGAAAATGTATTGACGTGAGTATAAGCCGAGGGTGGGAAATGCAGCAGCTACTGGTAAATTTCAAAATAAAAATAGATACCAATAAAATTATATTAATTCAGGCATCAGTAGGTTAAATGTTTTTGAATATTTACATAAAACTGTAATTCAAGATAAGATTGTCCAACTCTGATTAAAGCATTATTTGAACCTTCTTCAATGTAAATATGCTGACATATCCTTCCAATAATAATAAATAGAGTAAAATAATAACAACAATAATAGTGTAAAATGATAAATGTAATAATACAGTAAAATAATAAATTTTACTCTCTCCATCTTTCTTTCACTTCCTTCCTTCCTTTTGTCTTTCCTTCTCTTTCCTCCCTCTTTCTTCTTCACTCCATTCCCTTCCACCCTTTCGTCCTTCCTTCCCTTTCCTTCCTCCTTCTCTTCCTTCCTCCTTCCCTCCCCCCTCTTTCTACTTCCATCCTCCCCTTCCACCCTTTCGTCCTTCCTCCTCTCTTTCCTCTCCCTCTCCATCTTTCTCCTTCCTTCTTTCCTTCCGTCTTTTCTTCCTTCCTTCTTTCTTTCCTTTATCCTTCTATTCCTGCTTTCCATCCTTCTCTTTTCCTTTCCTCCTTCCCTTCCACCCTCCCTTCCCTTTCTCCCTCTTTCTCCTTCCATCCTTCCCTTCCTCCCAGTCCTCCCAGTAGGGAGTGCTAGCATGCACCCAAGTTTGAAAGCTTGCCCATGCCCGAGCTACAGGGAGAGACAGGTAATGAATCTGTTGTTGTTGTGAAGACAAACCTGGTACGTCCATGACACCAGCAGAAGTTTGGTCGCAGGGTCTTCTGACTGCACGGTAACTTGGATCAGAATGGACTCCACCATGATGGAGGTGTCGGAGAGGTGCTGGACAGAATAATCCTTCAGGACACTGGGAAAAATAAATGCACTGAAACTCATACTGGTAAGGTCAACTGGGACACGAAATGTTGCATTTGATCAACCTACCTGACAGATATTTTATCAAGGAGAGGCCCACATCACATTGTTGTCATCTCAAACCCCAAAAAACCCATTGATAAGGGTCACCATAAGTTGGGAACCACTGAAAGCCACACCACAACAAACTTTTGGACTCTTCCTCTCCGGGTGCGAAGTACTACCTCTTGAGGTGGTTGTAAACGCGAAGGCCCGCCTCGTGCTCTTTGCGAGGGTCCTGGAAGTGGATGCGGCAGGTGAACCTCAACTGGTGCTCTCCCAGGCCGAGCTCCTTGAGCGCTTGCTCCGGCGAGACCAGGCGGAAGCTCTGGCGGGAGAGAAAGAAGCAGGAGGCCTGGATGTAAACCATGTATGGGCAAACCCAGGTCTGGGGGCAAGAAGCAGCCCCTTGGGCTCTTCTCTCAGGCCCTCCTCTCCCTCACCATCTCACCCTTCCTTCCCTTCGTACTTCCTTCCTTCCCTCTTTCCTCCCTCTCCCCCTTTCTCCTTCCTTAATTCCTTCTCTCTTTCCTTCTTCCTTCCTTCCCTCCCCTCCTTCCTTCCCTCCCTTTTCATTCCCTTCCACCCTTTCGTCCTTCCTTCCTTGATGCTTTCCTCCCTTCCCCCCTTTCTCCTTCCTTCCTTCCTTCCTTCCTTCCTTTCGTCTTTCCTTCCTTGTCTCTTTCCTCCCTCTCTCCCTCTTTCTCCTTCCTTCCTTTCCTTTTCATCCTTCCTTCCTTCCTTCCTTCCTTCCTTCCTTCCTTCCTTCCTTCCTTCCTTCAGGCTTTCCTCCCCGTCTTTCTCCTTCCTTCTTTTTCCTTTCATCCTTCCTTCAAGCTTTCCTCCCCCTCTTCCTTCCTTCCTTTCCTTTCCTTTCCTTTCCTTTCCTTTCCTTTCCTTTCCTTTCCTTTCCTTTCGTCTTTCCTTCCCTCTTTCCTCCCTCCTTCCCTCTCTCCCTCTTTCTCCTTCCTTCCCTTTGGTCTTTGCTTCCTTCCCTCTTTCCTGCTTCCCTCCTTCTTTCTCCTTCTTTCCTTCCTTCTGTCTGTCCTCCCTTCCTCCATTCCCTTCAACCCTTTCTTCCATCCTTCTCTTCCTCCCTTCCTTCTTTTTTTCCTTCCTCCTTTCCTCCTGAGGGATGGGAGAAGAGAAGGTAGAGAGGGAACCAGAGAGCCATGTTTCCAGATTTCAAAGGGTCTCCCATTGAGGGTGAGGAGGAGGAAACCCGACTTCCTGCTGCTCTAAAGAGACCAGGGCACAAGGGAGCCATGGGTTCACATGGCAGGGAAAGAGATTCGACTGAAAAGATTAGAAAAACTTCAAGGCTGCCTGTAAGTGTGGTGGAGTCGCCTTCTTTGGAGGCTTTTCCGCTGAGGCTGTCTATTGGGAGGGCTTTGATTGTGCCTTCTTGCATGGCAGGGGGTTGGGCTGGATGGCCTTTGGGGTCTCTTCCAACTCTAGGATTCTATACCAGGAATAGGCAATACGGGGTCTCACGGAGACACCTTTTCTCTCCCGTCCACAATCTCATCCTGACCAAGGCCAACCTTTTTGGGATCCACGCACACCTTCTCACACACTGAGGCCTACCTCACACTGAGGAGTTCTCATACTGAGGCCCCTCACACTGAACCCCTTTGAGATCCAAATGTCTTTCCTTCACTTTCTGCCTCCAAAAGAGAAGAGGAAGGGGAGGAAAGGGCAGCGAGGGGCCTTGGGGAGAACCCACTCACCCTGCCATGCAGCCCCCAAGTTAGAAAGTTTGCCCATGCCGGATTTAAACCTTAAGCTGCATATCCTAAAGCTTTGGGCTTGAGAGGAAGATGAAACAAACTCCTGGACAATGGTTCGTAATAACATTTCACCAAAAGAACAATATAAACAATAAATAGTGAAGAGAATAACGAGAAACCCCCCTCAATTGCCCTTACATTATCCTTGATGATCAGGGTTCCGTGCATGAGCTTTGGCTTCTTGGAATCCGGCACAGGACCTGCCGCGAGGGAAAGGAGATCCGACAAGGCGATCAAGAATCCCCCAAAGGAACCGGGCCTCCATTGCCCACATCTCTCAACTGTACAGTCATCCTCTAACCCCTTTGCATCAGCCTTTGTGGTACTTATTAGGGTTGGATAGGTTCGCTCGGATGTGGCGTAATTCGGGGAAAAAATCGGATGTTTTTGCCTTCCGAAGGGACTCGCCTTGCGTGATTGATTTCAGGGATGCCGAAGTGAGTTGGAACTATGATGAAGCCTAATAATGAAACTAAATCGGCTGGGAGGTGAAGCCCAAGCCGCTTGTCTCCCAGCCAATCAGGAGTCACATTTTTGGGAGGGGTTTACACCATCCGGTAGCCATTGCTGTATAAACCCAAGCACATGGCTGGAAGGCTCATTCACAGCCAGGGAAGGGAGAGGGGAGGTTGGACCATTGTTGTTGCTGCTACTTGTTGTCTTGGGTGTGGGGTGGAAGAAAGGGTTTAGAGTCAGAGGAAAGGGAAGATTTGGGATTTGGAGTCAAAGATGAGAGAAAGAAGAAAAAGTTTGTTTGGGAGGCAAGGAGAGGGCGAAATTAATAGTCATTTTTGGAAACTTCTTTTTTGGGGGTTGTTGTAGGTTTTTTCAGGCTATATGGCCATGTTCTAGAGGCATTTTCTCCTGACGTTTCGCCTGCATCTATGGCAAGCATCCTCAGACATAGTGAGGTCTACCTCTGAGGATGCTTGCCATAGATGCAGGCAAAACATCAGGAGAAAATGCCTCTAGAACATGACCATATAGCCCGAAAAAATCTACAACAACCCAGTGATTCCGGCAGTTGTGACTCAGTTTGACTCTGAATCTGAAGCTGAGTCCTGTGGGTCTTGTGAGCCAGAGTACCCTGATGAAGAGGATGATGGGTTACAGATTTCTGTTCATGTCTCAGACAGGGTTGACGGTGAGGCTGCAGAAGGCGAAACAGCAAGTCAGTCCTCAGGGGAAAAGAATGTCAGTGAGACTGATAAACGGGAGTGAATTCCCACGCGGCCAGATGGAGATGTCTTTGTCTCCTTTGCCTTCCCACGGTGATCCAGCCCAGCTGGTAAACCAAGATAAAGGATTAGAGAGCCTTGAAGATAATTAATTAATGAGCAGTCAAGATCGCCTGCAATTAAGGGTCCGGAGAAGTTCTCGCTTAACTAGTAAGCGAGAGGCAAAGTCGGCCAAGGGTCATCGCAATGCGTTCATGATTGCAAAGGGTATTTAGCCTTCTCACTGACACACAGGCATTGTCAGTTCAACGTGGCTCTTTCCATGCAAACTTCTATGGATTAACCTTGGCTTTAAGCAGCAAGGTTTTGGCTTCCTGATTCTGGGATTTTGGGTCGTGTGTTCAACTGTTTTACCATGGACTCTTGTTTGACCATTGCTTAAAGGATTATGCTTCATGTTTTTGCCTTTGGATCTTGGGAACTGTGTCTTTGCATTTAAGCCTGTGTTTTGCCTATGCAATATACTGCTATACTATGTTTTGACTTTGCCTTTTTCTCAATAAACTACCAAATCTACAGCTTTGGTGTGGTGGTGTTTAGGAGCAAGGTGAAAACTACCCTGTGTTGCAACACCGGCCACGAAAGCCTTCGACAATACTTCTTTTTTTGCTCACCACTAAAGCTTTGCTATTTTTAATTGGGGTCTCTCCCTTTTTTCTAGGGTGTATTTTAGGGACTTGCCGCTGCATTTCCCAACCTTGCTGGGCCTCAGCTGCACAAACGGCGACTTCCAATAGTATGAATATGTCTGAAAGTTGGGGGCAGTGATCCACTATAACCTTTTGTCATTTCCTTAAAAATTCAAGGAGGTTGCTCTTTTATTTTCATTTTAATAAATTATTTCTAAAATTGTTTTAAATTTTTTTTAAAAAAATCAGTGGATTGTCTGAACACGTTGAAATTTGGTATGCTAACA